TTGTTTCTTGAGACAACAGGGCATGTTTGGTTTTCTCTTTGAGGGAAATAGTTTTGTTGAAGCTGTTGTTGGNGTGTTATGAAACCTTTTTCCCACAAAAAAAAAAAAATTAAATACAAATCTCTCAGCACCAAATATTCGAATATTCGCTGCTGATCACTACCGAATATCCGGAGCCCGAAAAATTGTATTCGGGACAGCCCTAATGCACAGTAATAGATGGAATACAGTCAGACAGCTGAGGCTATGGCTCCATCTAGTGGAAACAACACACATCTAAGGGAAATGTCCTTATAACCAGATATAAAAAAAGCGGAAGAAATGTTATCTTGAAGGGAAACAGCAAAATTACAGTTTTTAAAAGTGACAGACAAAAGGGAGGATTTAAATAGTTTCTCTCAGGGTTCATACACTTTTTCACCAACGATTTTCCATGACCTTTACCTCATTTTCCATGACCAAAAACATAACTCTCTCAGGGTACCACTGAAAATGGTTTATTTTAACATGGAACAGGAAAATAAGGTCTGCATCTGAAACATGTTGTTCCTATCTAAAACAAATCCAATAGTTGGCTTACTAGCTTCTACACGCTAAAGCAACTCAAATCTCTCTCCAGCAAAACACCTCGTCAGTTAAATGACATTTTACGTTTCATTACTATACGATACAGTATTTATTATCATTATAGTATTACTATTAAGGAGATTAGATCAAATATAAATTATATTTGATGCAACTTTAGTTACATTTCCATGACTTTGGGAAAAATATTTTCCAGGGCCTTGAATTAGCATTTTGAATTTCCATGACTTTTCCAGGTTTTTAATGACCGTAATAACGCTGAACTCTTTAAATACGCAATAAAAAATATGATGTATGTTGTACATCTTTACTACAATTACAGTATCAAAAAATCATTATTGATAATTATAAAAAAGACAGAAATGTGATTTTGAAGGGAAACAGCACTTGTGATTATTCAGGAAAGGCTGTTAAAAAGTGAAAGAGAAAAGTGGGGAATTATTTGATTTTAGATGCCAAAAATGTACAAATCTTTAAATATGGAATAATCCAATTTGATGTATTTGCACATCTTCACCATACTTACTGCAAGTTCAGTATCAAAAAACAATAAAAATAGGAAATTAAAAACAAAGAAATGTAGAACTCCCATTGATTCATAATTTTAGTATTTAAAAAAAGGACCAAATCTTCAATGTGTTTTTGGGAGATGTAAAATACTAACATTCACCTTCTTATTCAGGTTGTTCGTTTTTAATATGTTCACAACTCTATAAAACAAACCTTTTCTCTACTTTGTTTTTGAGCTTTATTTGGGAGTCGCAGTCGAGATAAGATTTAACAGTGGATCCTTATTTGTTCTAGGAGTCCCTTTTATCAAATACAAAATTCCTTAGATTGCGTTTCTGTCTACTTTTGAATGGAACCACTCATTCTCCAGCAGCTTCTAATGAATCGTCAGACTTTGTACAATCAGATACTTTTTCACTGAAAGGCTGATCATGGGGTGTTTCTCAATGTCGAGGACGCTTGCTTGGTAGCACATGTCCCTCCGAGTCACTTGCTTCAGAAGCGAGGCAAGAATCCTTCCTAGCCTCGGAAAACGAAGAATGGTGGAACAGGCTACCAGGTGTGCGTCATATGAGAGGCCCCGCCTTAAATGGAGTGCGATTTCCGCCAAAGATTTGGAAATTGGTCCGTGCGCAAAGCATTGTGGGGATTTTAAGACCGCGGAGGATACACATGTGCAGCCTCGAAATGTCTCGCTACGTAGTACGCCGGCCTGGGTAGAACTTGAAGTATGCTGGACATTGGAACAGTCCTCGGGACTCGATGACGTAGTATGCTTGAAATAGTGGCTCTGGAGCATCCTTCCTCGACATTGAGAAACACCCATGGATGTCTCTTATATATTTGCTTTCAATCCGGAACATCCCTCAAGAGTTTCTGGGGATTTTTTGGTGATAAAAACCTGCTGACTTCAGCTCTGGGATCAGAGAAGTGTCTGTTCTGAGAGTTAATCAGAGGTCAGTTTTAATCTGCTTCACACAGAGCGGCTCCGTTTCAGATAACTGTTTAAAATCAATCCAACTGGAACCGTTTGACTCTCAGCGAACGCCACATTCACAAACTGTGTGAAAGCTGAAAATGTCTAGCAGAGCGTCGTAGTTTAGGAATGATTTAGGAAGCTTATGATGACAAGCAAAAGGAGAGACACTTAAGTCTGAGTGGAGGTGTGGTTGAGGCGGTTGCTAGGTGACAGGGCGATAAAACAACAAGAAATAATTAAATGCACTCGTAATGATAGTGGAATAAAATAAATAGTGACAGATGTGCCAAGAGGAGATTTCTCTTGGACTTCAAATCAAACTGCAGCCGAGGCCCCAGGTAGAACATCCTACACAGAATCAAATCTACTGTCCAGGAAACTATTTCATTTGGGTATTTATTTTCCTTATGTTTAAATGATGAAGCCGACAAAGAATAAGGGCAGACTTTAACAATGGTCATCCCTTTCCCTCATAAATAAACATATGACTTTCCGGTGCCGATAACTCCTCCACCTGTCTCTAATAAATACCAAATCACCCAGAGCCTGAAGATGCCTTCAAATTAAAAAGCATTACCGACTCAAATGCACTCAAAACTGTGCTGCTAGTTTACTCACACATACAGAGCCGTGGCAGCACATCACCCCCAACCTCATCCACCTCCACTGGCTGCCGGTCAAGTCCCGCATAACCTACCTTTGTAGGTTATGCGGGACTTGACCGGCAGCCAGTGGAGGTGGATGAGGTTGGGGGTGATGTGCTGCCACGGCTCTGTATGTGTGAGTAAACTAGCAGCACAGNCACACACACACACACTTCTCCGCCTCATTCTGTTTTCATTTACTCGTTCGTTATCTGACCAGCTTTAATCTTGTAGGCTACTCTCTTCGTTTCTTGTAGCCCTCGAAAGTGTTTTGGAGGTTGATTTCTCGGTGAACGTTGTTTGGCTTTCTTGTCCGCAGCAGCAGAAAGCATTTTCGAATGTTTGAATGAATCAAAGTGGGTCGTCCCCGTCGATTTTCTCTTATGCTCCAACACACAGTTGCACGGGGTGCAGAATAGTTCCCCCCCACTTTTTGCCCGGTCTTTAGTAGAAATGTTCGTCGGTAAATGAGATGGATTAGATTTTTTCCTCTTGGTGTTTTCTCTATCGTGTGAGCTCCACACTGATGAGGTCAAGACGAGTTAACTTTTTTTTTCTCAACTTTGTGTGGAAAAATGCGGGGATTATGCGGCCTTTTAATAAATATGCGGCCTTTTAAAAATCTGCGCCATTTTGCTGATTATGCGGTCAATTCTGCGATCGCAGAATCGCGTTTTTCTGGAGGGTCTATAATATGTGAGCAACAACAACAAACATCAGCTGTGAGCACACAGAGCGAGGGCTGCAGGAGGCTGGCTGTGATGTTTGGGTAGATAGTCTAGTCTGACATTTCATGGTCATTATGTGTCATTACACACAGCGGGGGGTACACACTATCACACACTGGGGTAAAGTGGGTGGTTTTGACCCATAATTTCAGTTGATATGATGGCGAAATGACACAGAGGTGAGAAAGGCAGGAAGGAGAACAACAGCGAGGTATTTCTGAAAAGAGAGATTGGAGCTGTTGACCTTTTCCAGAAAGGAGCGGTGATTATGAGCCTTTATGGCAGGAAAAACCTGAGAGACACCGACAATAAATACAGCACACAGAGGGAAGAAGCAACACAAAGGTTATCTGGCAGAAGGGGAAAAGGAGACAGAAAGCTGAGCTAAATGGATTCCAAGTCAAACTATAAAAGTCAAACGGTACAAGCAGCTGAACTAAAGGCTGTTCAGACACTAAATAATTCAGAGCGTTTGTTTTCTGTGCCGGGAGGCCCAGGTGGGTGGGGTCTACTCGGTCAGGGCAGATCACATCATCTGAGGCTGACATGTGAACCTCTGATCCTGGCTGGCCTCAACACACACTGCCTGCTCCTCAAAACAAATGGTTTCAAATGTTTGTTTTGTATGTTTTAAAGCAAGATTGGGAAGAAGCTACTGCTCCATTTTGGTAAAACTTTGTGAAAGGGTGGAAAATGGGCCCAGGAAGAATCAGGGATGTATACATTTGGGTTTTTTCTTAAGCCACACTCAGATCTGCTCCGTTTGTGCATTGTCACGTCAAATAAAGGGAGACGGAAAATTATTTTGAATTTGGCATCAGTGCATTTTACAGCTTTTAAGACCCTAAGATTTTTTTATAAAGGGCTATTCAAGTGCTCAGCCTTGGTAGTGAATAGATCTCTTTAAAAGTGTTTACACTGATTTACAGACGTCTATTTCCCGATGTAAGTTAACGGTAAAAAAACAATTTTTTCGGCCCAATGACGTCACTTGACTGACTTCTCTTGAAAGTACAGCTCAAAAAAAGAACCACTGCAGATTGTTTTTGTCTACCATTTTGACATTTAAGATTGTTCATAACTGCTTGAGTCACACACACACACACACACACACACGCGCGCGCACACACACACTGGCTATAGGGCTGACCTTTGGGTTGTCGGCAGCACAGTTTTAATTGGTCTCTGACTTTAGCCAGCTGTCTGACCTGTGTGTGTGTGTGTGTGTGTGTGTGTGTGTGTGTGTGTGTGTGTGTGTGTGTGTGTGTGTGTGTGTGTGTGGACATAATGGAGGTCATTAATTTTAGGGTTAGGCATGTGATGGTTAAGGTTAGGATAAGTCTCCAGGAAATGCATGTAAGTCAATGTAATGTCCCCTGAAGTGATGTATAAATGGTGTGTGTGTGTTGGTTTTTCTTGGTTACCATGGCAACTGCATTATGTAAACTGGTTTGGAGGTTTGTGTAGTGCCAGGTTTTTTTTCATTGGCGCAAATGGATGAGAGATATGCCATCTGTGTTCTTTCTCATCAGTCCTGCTTGAGAATGATCCTCTGTGTGTGTGTGTGTGTCTCCAGGTATAACGAGCTGCTCTTCATCATTGACACCTGTCAGGGCGCCTCCATGTACGAGCGGTTTTACTCCCCAAACCTCATGGCTCTGGCCAGCAGTCAGGTCGGAGAGGACTCTCTGTCGGTGAGTTACCTGCCCTCACACAATTAACATTAAATTAAAAATCATCCATCAGTTTGTCAGGTTTTCTAATAAGCCGTGTGGTTTCATAACACATTGCAACTCAAGACTAGGACAGAGCAACGTGTTCATACACACTCTCCCCTTAATACAATCTCAAGTGTAAAGAATTGCTTTGCTAAAGGCACAATTAGTCATATCTTTCCAAAAATACTTTATAAACAAAAATGAATCCTTCTGAATAATTTTTGTACGACCTGTTAAGTACGAGTTGAGATGTCTGTGTGTGCTGCCCTCTGCTGCGCAATCAAACACATATTACCAACCATTACAATGTTGGCTTTCTTACAATTACATGATTATCTAACCAAAAAGCGTGGTTTTGGAAAACCTTTGTGAATGTTTTGTATGCAGTTCAGTTTAGAAGAGTAATTTACAGCGTAGATAAGAAAGGCAAAATAAAAATGCACTGATTTCAGGTGAATAACAAACTTCTTATTTTGATACGTCAGCTAAAAAAAAAAATGTAATGATAAGATCTGTACATAATCAGGAATGTAGCACACCATGGAAGTGAAGCAAATTACGTTTAATTAAATGTGAAAGTGCATTAAAAAAAATGATTGACAATGAATGAATGACGGTTATTTCATTCTGAACAGCAAATCTTTTACACCCATATCTGCAATACCACAGTGTAGTTGAAGGTGTTGGAAGTCAGTCAATATGGCCGACTGCCAGCACTAGCGAGTTATTTCATTCATACCATACATTAAAATGAAGTGCAGTTGTGAGGAGTACTTATATTTGATCTGCAGTGATCATGCAGCGTATTCATTCACAATGCCAAACTTCGCTTATCAGACTTCGAAAGTACATAATTACACACGACGTCAAACCATAACACTTTTCGCACATTAAAACAAAGTGGCATGTTTTAGTCCTGATGTATCCTGAGGGTAAAGAGTTATTTGTGGTGGATGAGACATGACTGGGATTTATTTGATCATCCAAAGGAAATATAATCTTGTTCCCAGTCTTGGGCAAAGAAAGATTTCTGAGCCAAAAGTAAAAAACCCATCCCATCACCTAAAGTGTTGTTGGACAATGAATATACAAATGTTTTTTCTTTTTGTCCTCCCACAGCATCAGCCAGATTTGGCCATCGGAGTCCATCTGATGGACCGCTACACCTTCTACCTGCTGGAGTTCCTGGAAGACATCCACCCTGCAAGCAAATCCAATATGAACGACCTGGTGAGTGTGACTTTAACTAATGTCAGAGAGAACAAACGTACCGTAGAGCAGACATTTGGGTTGATTTCGCATTTTCTATTCATTCAATATTTTCAAGTGTTTTGTAAACTTACAGTCGAAAACCAAAAGTATTCAATTTTATCAAGTTTATGTACACATTTTTACCTCATATAACATGTGATATTTACTAATCGACTAAGCAATTCACCACTTGTGAACCATGCACACTTATGAAGAGATCAGCATTTGCTCCAGGTGTCGACACACTGATTAAACAATGAGTCGAATTGGTAAACTAAGGCTGCATCTACACGGACACGAAAACGAACCAAATTCGATATCAAAAAAGTCTTCCGTCCACACGGTATCGGCTCAAGAAACGTGTCTGTCCACACGAGACCGCTCGACCCGCTGGAGACGCTGTGGTACATATGCCGGGCCTGTAAGTGGCGCTGTACTTCCGCCACAAAATACACCAAAAGCAGCGAAGAAGACCCTCCGAGCATGGTTGCCTGGTTGCCCTTCTGTTTATTCTCCGCGGTGGATTTAGCAACACATAGTTCATGTAGTTCTCCATGTCCACTTGTTGCTGATGGTTGTGGTACGTAGAGGAGCTGTAGATTTTCTGCTACTGACCATGCTACAGCAGTGAGCAGCAGAGGTGGGGAGAGGCGGGGCTATGGCTTCATCGTTATCAGGAAATGATCGTATAGGACGTACACACGGAGCCGTTAGGCCCCCCAGAGCGTTTCGTCCGCAGATCTACCCACCTTGGGACCCGTTGCCGTTTGAGGGCTCCGTTTCCACGGTTTCGATACAACCCGTTTCGTGTCCGTGTGGACGGGGCCTAAGTTAATTGAAAATAATTCACCGCACCAGACAATACTGAATTGTATCACTCAGCTTTATAAAGACAAATGCCAAACATTCTCTGGATTCTGCTTCTCTATTGTGTGTATGTAATTCCTTTATGTTGTATAGCACTGCAAGTACCTACTCGGCACTAATTAGATTATAATTGGATTTCAAACCTCATAAGCGATTTTGAAGACCTCAATTTAAGTCCTGAGAAAATGGAGTGTTCCTTTTGTTGTTAAGGATGTATTGGTTAACTGAAATAAGTTAATATTTAGAAAATAATTGTGGCAGATTTAACAGATATTCATGCAGGATCCACTTTGTGTGACTGTGGCAGGTAAATGCAGTTCATGTGAAAACATTGAGCCAGCTTCCCTCCTCTTCCTCCTCTGTCTGCTGTTTGTGGTCCTAAAGGAGATGAAAGTCACACAGCACTTGAAGGAGAATGTCTGATACTGTGTTTAGTGTTTTTGGCCTTTCACACATGACGGAGGTGATGGGAGAACACGCTGCTTCAGGCCATGGCCTCCCTTTTTATCTTCCACAGTCCTGCAGAGATCCACTGCCTCCTCACCAGGAGTTACAGTCAACTCCCCTGAAATCCTCTCCCTGCACTCAGCGCCAGCTAAATCAATGCTCTCTGACTAACGCTTATTATTCTCTCCAATCTTCCTTTTTCTGGAGATGCACTCTTTGTTCTCCAGCTATGTTGTGGATTTAAGGATCGATATCATGGATTTCCCGGACGAGCCCTCTGTTGTTGTCTTTAATCCAGTCTGCAGCGGCTTGCCCTTTGATGAATCAGAAATTGCCTCCGCCTTCTCAACAAAATCCTCCTCCAATTGTGTGTTTTCCAATTCTCGTTTGTCTGATAGAGAAAATGCTAACCTCGGTTTAATGATTTTCTTTTTCATTTCATTTCAAACGAAGAAACCAGTCAGACAAAACACTGATGAACACTTGAGAGGATTAACCCACAAGTGGTGACACACCATTACATTACATTGCATTTAGCTGACGCTTTCATTCAAAGAGACTTACAATAAGTGCGTTCGACCAGGAAAATACAAACTTGAAGAAAACAGAATCATAAGTACATCAGGTTTCATAGAGCCAACACATTTCAAGTGCTACTCAACTGGCTTTAGATAAGCCAGTCCTTTGTTAGTATATAAGTGCTTTGTTAGTAATTCTATCGCTCGAAGTGGAGTCGAAAGAGATGAGTTTTCAGTCTGCGCCGGAAGATTTCTGCTGTCCTGATGTCAATAAGGAGCTCATTCCACCAATCACTGAAAGATTTCTGATTGATGATGGCATAAACAAATGTCATGCTGCTTGCTTCTAATCTTCTCAGTGCACTTTCACACATTTGAACAGCTCCCACTGACGCTGTAGCCATGTTTGACGCAGCTGGCTCCTGTCTGTAGTATAGAAAGTGAAACTCTTTAACGCCATCTGACCCACTGTCTCCTGGAAAAAGTGACCTGCACAATTGAATTGATGCTAAAGCTCTTGACAGCAGCATGAGCAGATGTCTACTGTACTGCAGATATTTATCTAGTAGCATTTATTTATACAGTTTGGAAAGGGTTCGTTTTCGTCATCTCCTCTGTCTCCCCATTCAACACTGACACTAAAAATGAAAGTTTCAGGAGCTTTTAAAGATATCAATAGTCATACTTAAAAGGAGATAGAAAGTAAAACATTAACATTTGTCGTTTAATATTAATACAAATTTGGATTTGACTTTAAAGTTCATGGCAACAAATTGAGATGAAATCCATTTTGCAAATAAATGCTTATCAGATTTAAAACTGTACTATTTTAGTTTTGATAGGGTTTTTATTTGTAAATGGCAGATTGTGATGTGAATGGAGCCTTGCCTCTTTTGCTGTTTGTGAAGTTTAATATTTCTAACACACTGCTTGTGTTTTCTCCCCAGTTCAAAGTGTGTCCCAAGAGTCAGTGTGTGTCCACTCCGGGCCACCGTACTGACCTCTTCCTGAGGGACCCAGGAAGTGTCCTCATCACTGATTTCTTTGGCAGCGTGCGCAAAATTGAGATCACCATGGAAACAATCAACTTGACCGACCCCATCCAGCAGGTGGAGCTGAGGTAAGCAGAGTTATTTGGCAATGATTAGAATATGTATGGCTAGGGAGATAGAAAAATACATAATGAAAATGACTTTATTTGCTGGGTCTTTAAAACTTTAACTTAAGGTATTTCAACCTTCTTATTGGACGCCATCTGAAGCAATCTGCCACTCCCAACCAGGCTTGATCAATAAGTCTATACCTAAACCTATTTCCTTTTTATTATAACCCCTCTCTTTGACAAGCACTCAACTTGATTTCTCACTGCCTGATAATGTTCTGTTTATATAGTTGTTCCATTATCGGTGGTATAAGTTTGCTGTTTTATAAGTGGTTCAAAGATAATGAAATCATTATTTATTTTGTCTTTTTTAAAAGTGTATTTACGTTGTGTAAGTCGACCCAAATCAACTAACAAGACTAAACAAATAATATTTGAAAGATAAAACATATTCAGCAATAGAATATATAATAGAAACTAATCCGTATGAACCCTTTTGTTCCCCATACGTCTAAAGGGAAGTGATGTTCAAGGTGGATTGGGGACAACCTGCATGTATAAAAACGTGAATTGAGTTCTCTTTGTTTTAATTAAAGTGCTGCGGACAACATTCGTTTTGCTTTTGTTTCTCAACCTGCTAGACCTTTGATTTCTCTTCGATCTCTTATTAGCTATATTGACTTCTCTACTAATGACGTGAGTTGCTATGACTACCCTGTAGGTGATTTAAGACCTGCTACGGTTGACCAATGACATGGCTGCTTGAGGTTAATACAGCTCAATCAGATGGTACTTATAATCAGTTCCTGCACTTTCGCAACAAAGTGAGGATCATAATTGAACAGCCTGTGTAGTCTATAAATCAGTAACTCTTCATCAGTGGCACTGAGTGAGCAGCGGTGCTTCTGATTGGTTGAATGTGGCGCCACCCTGGGATGAATTTAACCAAATGCATCCAAATTTGAATTCAGTTCATTCTCTCATTGCATCAAGTCGAGACATGATGTGAGAAATATATTCAGCCACTAGATGTCTGTAGAGAGCTGTCAAACTCTTAAACATCCTCTGTGTCATGAAATATGGTTAACTTTCTCATATTAGCTCCCACACACACTAATCCCCTGGAGTTTTTGGAAACGCTCAGCTAATGCACCAAAATACAATCACTCCTCCTTATTTTGGCTCATTAGGCTGAAGGTAAGGAATAGATTGTAGTGCTCTACAAACAGATGTGATGGAAATTAAAACTTTATTACACTCACTATTCTATTAATTCCATTAAGATGGGATTTAATTGAACCACTGGGAGGTGTTATAGTGAAAGGACCTCATGTGGTTGGCTGCTAATTAGTAATTAAGAGGTAATTGCTAAACTGATTTTAGTCATCTGCTGTTTTGGCTCGAGGCTAGTTAGTCATTGCACACAACTTCCCCTATTAGTTTATTATTGATTAGAGCCTGACTCTAGGTCTGCTGATCTCATACAACAAAGAAGCACAGCAGCGGTGTATCGAGCTGCCTGTTGCCCTCATTCAGTCCTAGAGAGACGTTGCATCTACCATTCTGATGTAAGATCCAGCAATCCCCATTCATTTGATGTTTAACGGAGCTCAGTTTACTGATGCAGCAAAGCACTAGCAGCGTCTTTCTACTTTTAGGAATGATAGAAAACACTCTCGTAAAAAGTTTAAAGATGTTGAAGAGGCTTACAGCACTTTCTGTCATTTTGGCTGTCATATTTAAGTTTTTTGTTAAAGGGGACACTTGTATGCAAATTGTCATGCCTGTACTGTGATATGTTTTGATGCTTTACTGCCTGTGCTGCAGCTCCTCTTTTCACCATCCAAATCAGTCTGCTCTGATTGGTTTGCTGGTTGGCTCTGTTGTGATTGGTCAACCGCTTATGGCGCTTTTCCACTGCTGCACGGTTTAAGCGTGCCGTGCCAAACCCGGCCCGTTTTTTTTTACTTTTCCACTAGAGGTAGTTCCGGCTCAGGGCTACTTTTTCACCTTTATTCTGGCCCTCCAAAATCAAGGTTCTTACCGAGCCAACAACCGGGCTGAATATGCTAAACTAGTGATGTAAACACTATCGACTGCTGAATGGTCAGAGAGAATCACTGGCAAGGGGGGGCTACAACTACAACAAAATGAAAACATTTTACCATGATTTAATTGTAATACACGTTACAAAATGGTGCCGAAGTAAAAACATACTGATACAAGTCTGCAGACAGACGGCAGGCGAAAAACCTTTTGAAATGCGTGTTTTCAGAATGGAGATCGGATCGCTAATGTTATATATCCTCCGACCGTCCACACTCACAACAAGGGCCTATACAGACATAAATAAACCAGCAACTGTATTCGCCATGACACAGACAGTCTGTGGTTTGTACTTGTTTAACTTTTGTCTAGTTTCTGAACAGATATGAGGAGCTGTGAGCTCTGAGCGCTAACTGCTCACGGCTGATGTTTTGGTTTTGTGGTTCGCATTGAAGATGACATCTACACCGCGTTGCTATAGTTACTGCTCCAGCTACTAAACTGCAATGGAAACGCAGCATAAAGTGAGCCTAGCCTACCAAGGCCTAACTATACTGTACTAAGCGTGCGAGGTCCTGCAGTGGAAAAGTGCCATTAAAGATGTCCCGCCCCTTAACCTACAATGTGTTGGCGTGCTGGCCAATAGAGGTGTGAGTGTTACATAGTGATGTCTTTATGTTATACAAGGAGTCCAATGGATTCAGGCATGCTTAAAAAAAGCACAATAGGTCTCCTGTAACATGTTGGTGAGATTAATATTGCATTGTGAGTTGGGGGATGGAATATTCTCTGGCAAATTGTTAAAGGAGGTTAGGTATACAAGGATGTTGTACAGAGAATAAAAACATGATTTGAATCACCAGGGTGCTTATCAAATTGTGTCATGTATTGTAATAGAAATGGGATAGTTTCAAGGTGACTGTATTGCCAGTGTAAACATGTGCAGCTTTCCACACAAAATAACAGAAGGCTAAACAAAGGCATGTTATTCACGGCACCATCACGTACAAAATAGAAATACAGTAGCTCTTTAGTATTCTTGCAGGGTCTTGCATGTAACATATATGTTTTCCCCCTTATTTTTTCTTGGTTACAGAAAATCCAGCTGGATGCACAGAAACACAGAAAAACAAGTGTCTCTCTCTAGACGCTTAAATGATGGGAAAGACCAGATTTACAGTAGAAAATTGGTACTGGGACTATTAATGGAGTATTGATTGGATCAAGTCGAAATCAATGAACCATTAAAACAGAATCCAGCTTCTCAAACAGAGACTTGCTGCTTCTCTTTATTATATATAACTGGATATCTTGTTACAGGCACATTCAAATGTATCTCCTCAGGGTTTAAATCAACATTTATTTGCACGTTCTTATCGGTTAATTAGGCAAAATAACAGATTAACAATAGCATAAATAATGATTTGTTGCAGCTCTATTTACAGACATCATCCAACCTCCCTAAAATAAAAACCTCTTTTACATAAATGTGTTTCTAAATCCAGACTGGACTTGGTTCAACTGTTTTTTGCAACACATCTGGATCGTGTCAAAAAAGCAATCACGGAAATGGATCATTATGAGACCTCTGTGTCCGGCACCACAGGTTAAATTACATAATAGCGTTTCCGAAAGACCTGAACATGGAATGGAGTGAGCTGTGTGTGTTCCCAGGGAGAAAATATCACAGATGTCCTCTGTAAAAAGCTGTTATTAAATATAGTGCAGGTTCTCCGACAGGTGCAGCAGGATATTTAGAGAAGATGGGTACATGAGTGTCCAAGTGTGTAAGTATTTTTCTTTTCTGTTGCTCACTCATCCCTCCCTTTTCCTCTCTTCTCCCTCCCACCCATTTTCTAAACGGCCGCTTCTGCCTCAGAACAAGCTCTTCCATTAAGTGAATTGCTCTTGATGCAGAGGACATTTTAATGGACCCCTCGATTATTTTCATTATACATGAGCTTAACAGTGTAATGACTCACGTCCAGCCGTAGGTGCTTATTGACCAAAACATGTCATCTTGTGGGGTCACAAAGCTCCAAAGATGATCATATTTAAAGCCAAATTAATTTCCCCCTTTTGAGTAATAAAGTGTATTTAATGTCATTTGTGAGACTGCAGCGCTGGAGAGGCTCTCCAAAAAGTACTTTTCATTAGTAGAAAAGATGTTAAAAGGAAATGTGTCTGACCTTAAGATGGCAGCTGCAGTAACACTGGAACTGTAGGTGGGGAGGGACGGTCACATCTATCAGAATCAGCTAAGTGCATTGGAAAATGTTCTCCAAAAATAACTTTATTCACTTAGAAAATAGAGTGGAAAGTGGTCTGAATTAAAGACGAGATATTATGCAAAGTTTTAGGTTGATATTTGTATTTTGTGTCTCTACTGTAACATGTTTACATCCTTTAGAGTTCAAAAAGCTCTTTATTTTACTCATACTGCCACCGCTTTTCCCCCTCTGGGTGTTTCTCAATGTCGAGGACGCTTCCTTGGTAGCACATGTACCTCCGAGTCAGTTGCTTCAGAAGCGAGGCAAGAGTCCTTCCTAGCCTCGGAAAACGAAGAATGGTGGAACAGGTGTGCAGGTGTGCGTCATATGCGAGGCCCCGCCTTAAATGGAGCGCGATTTCCGGCAAAGATTTTTGGAAATTGGTCCGTGCGCAAAGCATTGTGGGGATTTTAAGACCGCGGAGTCTACGCATGTGCAGCCTCGAAATTTCCCGCAACGAAGCACGCCGGCCTCGGTAGAATTCCAATCATCCTGGACATTGGAACAGTCCTTCGGGGGGACTCGATGACGTAGTATCCTTGAAATAGTGGTTCTGGAGCAGCTTTACTCGACATTGAGAAACACCCTCTGTCTGAAACCAGAGCCCAGTCTGCTCTGATTGGTTAGCTGGCCGGCTCTGTTGTGATTGGTCAATTGCTTATAGATGTCCCGTCCCTTAGCCTATCACGTACAATGTGTTGGAGCGCTATCCAATAGAAGCACAAGTGTTACAGCGATGTCACTATGTTACAGAAGTAAACAAGAGTCCAATGGAGGCGTTTCAGGCAAAGGAGAGAAACTCCCCCTGGATGGAGCATTGGGATTGTAACCATTGCAGACCATTTACATCAGGGGTGTCAAACTCACACACAAAACACAGTGGGCCAAAATAAAAAAAATGGGTACTAGTCGAGGGCCGGACTGGTTCAATGCTTATTTCAGACTTATATATACACGGGGTAAGTAGACCAAGAAAAGAAAAAAAAAGACGTTTAGTGTCAAGTACTAGTCTTTCGTTGAGAGTCGAAATTTCCAGTGTCAGTCACCTCCAACTGTCTCACCGAAAAAACAAGGTTAGTTTCTTGTCAAGTCCAGTCCGTCGACGATGTTCACCCGTTTTAGGGGGTCTTGGTGGCGAGCGACAACAGCTTCGATTGGCCAAGACGAAGAAATGAAGAGGGGGTGACTCAATCACAACGAGTTGAATAAGACTGAAATCCGATTACAGTAGAGGAAACAACGGCAGAAGTAGGCAAAGTAAAGTTTGGGTAAAGAGAGTCAGAGAAAGGGGGTACAGCACACGTCGCCCCGTCCTCCTCGAAAACCTACTGCCTTGTCTCTGTCTTCCTTTGCCCAAGCTCTGCTGGGGCTGGCTCGGGGGACACTCGCGTTCGGAAGCCGATACCTTTATACGTTACCTTTTACACAGTGGCGACAAGTGCGAAAAAGTCACTCGTGTTTTATGAGAGTAGTTAAGTCTGGTGCAAAGGTACATTTCTCTCTTCAAAACCTCTACTACAACGGTTACGGTGAATCGACTAAGATTAGCTACACTGGCCCGGGAGGGTGAATGTCGCAGGACAAAAAAATAATGAGGTCGCCGGTCGCAAATTCAAAGTTTAAGGGAAATTTTCCACGTAGATCCAAAAACACGTCCATTTAGTGCTCGGTTTAGTCCGGGACCACCTAAATTAACGTGGCGTCTATTAAAAATAATGATATATCTAGTAAGAAGGCGCCCATATAACGGTGCGTGTGGAAGTGAGTTAGGACTTCAAAGGAGTCGAGTCCTCGCGGCTCGGGTTTTGTAACTACTTGAACATGGGTTCTACTCACGGATTCATAGACCCGATCGTCGTGTCTCGTCGTGTGACTCAAAGTTACCTACAAAGGAAGACGGTGAAAGAAGAACTCTGTTGTCCCGTACAAACCAAAAGAGAAACTCTTTATAAAACAACTTCGACAACAACCAGACACCTCTTTACGTTAGTATTCTTTAACTGACTTTTCGACGTCTATCTCGGTATTATTTTACTTTACGTTGACTAATAAATTCACAAAACAAAAATATCCGTTATTAAATTCGAAACAAATCAAGGTCCAAATTATACACGTTATTCAAGTAAAGTTATTCAA